ATCATGCAGATTTTTTGAAAGATATGACCAGGTATGCTGGTGCCTTAAATGTAGTGTGTCTTTTAATTTCCATGACCTTTCCATAGAAGTATTAGAGACACCATCCCTTAAATACCAGCATTTTATTCAAGGACAGTTCCTTCATGATAACACAGTGTCATTTGTCTATTTGCTTCGAAATTTTAAAAGGAAAAAAAAAAGGTTAAAGAGATGATAAATGTTGAAAATCATGGAATCCTAAACTGGTTTGGGTTGGAAGGGACCTTAAAACTCATCTTGTTCCATGGGCAGGGACACTTTCCACTAGCCCAGGTTGCTCCAAGCTCTGTCCAACCTGGCCTTGGACACTTCCAGGGATGTGGGACCCACAACCTCCCCGGGCATTGAATGGCAAATGTGGCTAAAACACAGAAAGCAGAAGATCCTTCCTTACCCTTTGAGTTCATTAAAAACTAGACATGCCTGCAGAGTGCTACAGGGGATGCTGAGAAGGTGGTTGCAGAAGGGATAAAAGTTAAAGTTACACAACTGTGTAGGATTATACAGTGGTCTGTCCCTCGGTGACCCAGGTGACTTTATGATGGAAATGAATAAATGGTTTGTTTTAAACAGATGGAAAACTTTCCTGTGGCTACCAGGGACCTTCAGATTATGTGGTTGTCAGCCACGTGAACTTGAAATACAATAGAAAGGATTCAGCAATACAGGGCAAGGCTTAGAATAAGAATACCTGGTGTTTAATCCTAATTTTGCCACAGGCATCTTGACCTTGAATTAGTCACCTTCAGGCACTTGAAGCACTGGCAGCAGGAGCAAGAGCCTTCAGGAGGCTGTTCCTTGTCTTGAACGATCACAGTGGGTGGGATTGCCATGCTCTAAAGGAAAAAAGGAGGGGGGGGAAGGCTTTTTGGTGTTTAAAGTGGCTGTTAACCTCATAACCTGTGCAAATTAAAAGATGCAGGAGCACTGAGTTCGAAATTAAAGTGGTTGTTGTGACTGCAGACATGAAAAGGTCCCGTGTAACTCGGTGACCCGCGGGGTGAGAGCACGGGCTGCTCCCGCTCCGCCGGGGTATGTGTTGGGAGTAAGGCTGGAGAAAAAAAAATACCTCCTGCTTGTGTAAGCAGTGGGAAAACAAGCAGACACTTTATACTCCAGAAAGCCCAGTGTAAGCCTCAGGAAATTCCTGCATTCTTGATTTTTTTATTTTGCGGCGGAGGGCTCGCGGGGCGTGTCTTCGAAAGATGAGCAAGGTCGCCCTTCTTCCAACCCAGCACCACGGACCTGATAAGCTGGAGCTGAATAGCTCATTGTTCCCTGCGGGAGGCTGATCAGCTGTCCCTACTCCCCTCCAAAAACACTGGGTTTATTTAGAAAGGGAAAGTGCTGATGGCGCGTTTCGTACCGAAGGCAAAGTTCCTGGTTCTTGCTGCTGTTCGGGCAGAGCCGCGTGTGAAGTGTCCCACCTCGAGAGCCAAGGGCTTGTGAACTTCCCTGTGATTTTATAATTAAGGTTATAGAATCATAGAATCAGCTGGGTTGGAAGGGACCTCTGAGATCATCAAGTCCAACCCTTGATCCACTACCCCCACGGTTCCCAGCCCATGGCACTGATGCCACATCCAGTCTCATCTTAAAAACCTCCAGGGATGGAGAATCTACCACTTGCTGGGCAGCCCATTCCAATGGCTGAGCACCCTCTCTGGAAAGAAATTCTTTCTAATCTCCAACCTAAACCTCCCCTGGCACAGCTTAAGACCGAGCCCTCTTGTCTTGCTGATCATTGCCTGGGAAAAGAGACCAACCCCCCCCCTGGCTCCCCCCTCCTGTCAGGGAGTTGTAGAGAGTGAGGAGGTCTCCCCTGAGCCTCCTCTTCTCCAGGCTGAACAACCCCAGCTCCCTCAGCCTCTCCTCATAGCACTCATGCTCCAGACCCTTCCCCAGCCTCGTTGCTCTTCCCTGGACCTGCTCCAGCCCCTCAATGTCCTTCCTGAGCTGAGGGCCCAGAACTGGACACAGCACTCCAGGGGTGGCCTCACCAGTGCTGAATATATAGAGATACTTGTGCTCTGCTAATCTTGCAGCCTGAACTGCTAGAATTTGTATTTCTACTTTTCCTTTGTATTTCTGCTTTTGCTCCTGAGGGTGGTTTCTGGGTCGAGAATGTCACTGATGGAGAACATCCAAGTTTACCAGGTTGTCACCCTGGTAAAAGATCCAACAGTTGTGGCACCAAGAAGGGGTGGGTGGTCACACCATATTACTTTGCCTTTCCTACCCCAATTTTCTTTTCAAACATGGTGCCTGCTCCTCATCCGTGCTGATGGGGTCTCTGACTTCTGAAAAACAGCACTGTGCCCACCAGCAAACCCTAAATGCACAAACAGATACATCACAGGCAAACAAGGTATTTGCTGCACTTGAATTTTGACCCTCTTTCTTTATGGGCTTAGCAGAAAACACCAGGTCTGCTCAGGTATTTTCTTTGTGTGATCCTTTTTCGTGGGTCTAGGAACTAAACCACAACTTGCTGAAATGAGTGTCTTTGTCCAGTAACTTCTGGAAAGGTCACAGAGTTGTTTCTGTGTTGGGGCTTTTTGCTGAGGAAAGGGTGGAGGAGAAGACACAAAGGGAGGAAGAGCTTTCTAGTACCCCTTGCCTTGAAGGATGTTCTTTCTGGAATGTCAGACCTGCAGGTGAGTGTCAGGTTGGGGATTAGATGGAATGGTTCATTGCAGCAAGGAATCACCACATGACTGATCATTTTGGTGCTGTTATTGTTGTCTTCCCATAATTTTTGCTTTATAAAGTCTTAATGGCAAAGCCACAGGTGGAATGGGGGTGTCTGGTTTGCATTCACCTGGCTAAAGGTGTGGCTTTGCAAATATTTGGGTGGTTGTGTGTCTGGGGCTCGAGCTGAGTGGAGATGTGTAGAGAAAATGTGGAACATCAGCAGCAGATTTTGACAGAAGTTTTGGCAGGTCTGATGTGTGTAAATATCCATTCTTTCCCCGTGCCCCTCCCAGGCCCTGCTAGTCCTGAAATACTGGAAGAAACAACAAAGGCATCTCAAAAACCAAAGAAATCTCTTAAGTTGCAGTGAGTGCAGTGTGCAGGTTTTACCTGCTGTGGTCCTGCTTCCACGTGCCACCTTCCCTGAGGCCCGTGGGTTTGATTAAAGAAGTACATGGACAGCTCAGGCTGGTGTATTCGTGTGTACTTGTGTTTGCTGATGAAGAAACACAAGTTTTCAGTTTCCTAAAATTCTCTCCTGGGGGAAAAAAATAAACCTGACCAGTTTTCCCCCCTCTTCTGCTTCATCCCATGCCATGACCTTCCTGCTTGTGTTCTCTCCTTGCTGTGGAAAGCCCTGGGTACAGTCTGAGAGAAGTGGAACTACCAAATTAAAGTGCTAATCGAGCTTGAAAACGCCCCAGTCATACAGATTGTGATTTTCTTTTAATTTTTTTTTTTTGTGGGGGGCAAGTCTAACTAGAAGCTGTAATTTTATTTTGGGTTTGGGAGTCCCTAAAATAAAGATGGGTCCCCTAAAACTGCTGCCACAGATGTGAGCAGGATTCGAGGCAGCTGATGCTCAACAGAGCATGGCAGGAGTGAAGCCACGGAGGTCCAGATGGTTTGCTTTTTTCTGGGCAAAGGGACAAGCACACTGAGGAGCCAGGCTGGCCTCTGAGATTATGTATTTCAGGAATTTGCCATGAAGGAGTCGATTAAAAAAATTGCATTTGGGAAATGATCCCCTCCCCACCTTCAGCTGTAGTGACAAACTCGCAGTCGCAGTGTGTCGATGGGAAGAAAAGCTGTGAGTGCTGGAAAGGTGAATTTTAGTTATTTTATTGCTGGTTCTGGATTCAGCTTGGAACAGCACAGCTTGGAAAAACCTTTGGAAAGAGCAGCACTAGCAGTCAGGCCTCTTTACAGTTTGACTGCTCAAAGACCTTGAGATGAAAGTGCATATTTTATTGGTTTCATGTTGAGTTTATTGCCTGTATAAAGGCCAAATAACCTTTACTGGCTGCATCACTGAATATTTCTGCATTTTTAGACTGAGAGTGACACGCTTCTGCTGTGTTTTCTTGCCCTCTTTGACCGTGAGTGAGTCATTTCACTGTTCTGTCCCTCAAATTCAGGATAAGGAGGACACCTGGCTCTGTGCTGATGGGAGATGTTTTCATATTTGTGAAACGTTTGAAAACTGTTTGTAAAATATTGTGTTCATGTAGATATATTCATAATAATTACGCTGCAATTATGATGAACATGTGTTAATAATTAATATTATTAATTATAATATTAACACTTATATCTGTGTGCTTTATGAGTCCTTCAGACATAGATATGACACTTGCAGATATTTTTAAAAAGCATCTTCCTGGAGATAATTCCCTGATGGGAAGTGCTGTCGTGTTGGCTCCCTGAAGGGGTGTCTTTTCTCTGTTTCATGGCTTGGTTTCTAACGAGAGCTGCACAGCTGGAGACTCAGTAACTAACTGAATAATCCAAAATTGGTGCCTTCGGGGAGTGCCCCAGAATGTGCAACGTCTTGTTTCTGCATCAGGAATTGTCTGCAGAAGGAATTTGATAGAAATTCCCTGAAGTGATTTTCGGAGCTGACGTGGGGTATTGCAGCATTTAGCCCTTTTTCCAGACTGAGATTCAGTACATTTTTAGGCAGTGACCACTCGTTCTTGATGCCAAAAATGCACTTGACACTTGTAACTGATGCACTTTCCAGCAGTGAAGCTTTGCTGGTGGGTCTGTGCACCGGGTTGCAGGTTTTTGGCTGAATTTCCAAGATACAACTGCAATCATTTTCTGTCTGCAGGTAGAGTCAATCACGGTGATGGAGCTTTGCTGACATGTCGCTAATGAGGGAATGTATTTTTAACTATATTTTCTTGGAGATTTTTGATGTTTTTGTGGTTTTTTTTTCTCTGATGGGATTTTGTTTAATCTTTAGTGCTTTTTATTTGTTACAGAGATCCGTGCCCAATTGGTAGAGCAGCTGAAATGCCTTGACCAACAGTGTGAGCTTCGGGTCCAGCTACTGCAGGACTTGCAGGATTTCTTCCGCAAGAAGGCAGAGATTGAGATGGATTACTCAAGGAATTTGGAGAAGTTGGCTGAGAGATTCCTGGCTAAAACTAGGAGCACCAAAGACCAGCAATTCAAGTAGAGTATTTGCCTTTTGTTTTTGCCCTTTTTTCCTCTCCCTCCTCCCTCCCCCAGGAGATTTGATTGCAAGGATAGGAATGGGAAAGAGAGTTGATCTAGTGAATGTAGGTACCAGCCCTGCTGTGAATGTCAGAGCCAAATGTTTCCCAGGTTTGGGTTGAACACAGAACCCATTCCATGTTCCTGGATGCTTATTTCAGTTATTCCTGGTAGGTCAAATGCTGTCAGTAGGGAATGAAATGGTAAAAATTGGCATGTCTAAAAGGAATCATTTTCTTGGGGAAGGTGGGCAAAGCTGTGCACCACGTTTGGGGGACAAAGCCAGGATTTCCTTCAGTGCCGGTGGCTTTGGTCTGGTTTTTTTGGGTTTTTTTATGGGTAACTGTTTCCAATCTGTTTTATGCTGTCAGCTCTCTGTTTTCAATATCCCACACATACTCAGTGTGGGAGTTGAGTGTTGTATCTCTGCTACTATCACTTCAAACAGTAGAGAAACGAGGCCAGGAGTACTCCTGAGTCCAACAGAGCTGTGCCACTGGGGGCAGGGGAATCCCAAGGTACTAAGCTGATGGGACTCAGTTAAAATTTAAAGATGTCCTCATTGACAATTAATTTTTCCCCTGCTTGAAGCATGAAGCCAAGTGGATCTGACTGTATTGCTGTGGTTGTTCCTGGTTTTTGGTTTTTCCCCACTTATCTGAGTTGGGATGACTAACATGTGGAGGAACGTGGGTTTCATGGACTCTGGTCTTTCTGATTTACTCCTGACTCCTGCCAGGAGGTGCTTTTCCCAGGAAAGGGGGGGATGTAGGAGAGGACCTGTGGATGAAGAAGGGGCTGGTGCAGAGCCACCAGCCCGGCGAGGAGGCGACCGGCGCGGAGCTCCCGGGGTTGACATCTGGGCAGAGCAGCACGGGGCTTGTTGGGTTTTGTTGTCAGGGCAGCAGCTGGGGAAAAACACGGAGCCTAAAGCAGCCTTGGGACCTGAATCATTTCTGCTTTGGACAGATCGGGCTGAGAGGATCCATCTGGGTCTGCCCCCGCCCAAAATGCGGCGTCACTTCGAGCATTGTTTGGGTCGGGCTGTTCCCCGGGTTTTGTGTTTGGTTGTTGCTGTGTTTGCAGGGATGTGGGGATACAGCAGCAGCTTTCCTGCTCCACCAGCAGCTCCTCTTGTGGAAGCCATTAAGGAGGCACCATTTTAGTTTCCTCTCTAAAGTGCAGCTTTGATGTCGTTTAATTTAGTTCTCCTTTAAAACACACATTGTGCTGCGTTGTTGGGAAAGCCTGACTGCCCAGCAGAGCTGTTTGACAGGCTGGAGAAGAGTTATTCTGCTTATCTATAGACCTGTCATTGTCTGAAGCGTTTTTTCTTTTCCTCTCCAGTGCAAATGTTGTTACAATCATAAGCTTGTGTGTATTCTGCACATGCCTTTAAGATGGCACTAAAGAGATTATGCCTTGAACTGTAATTTTCCTTTGCATTATGATTGATCTTTTCAGTTGATTTTGTTGTTGTTCCTGGTGAAAATTGAGGTGATTTCCTTTATATTACATGGTGTGAAACATCCCATAGAAACGCTTTTATATCCAGCTTCCAGTGTTGGGAAAGTTCCTATTTGGAGATTTAGAGTGAATGTATAATGTGGAAGTTTTGACTGTAGTCAGACAGACTCCTACATGGTGTCATACTTCATGTGAATTAATACTTCATCCTGGCTGTGATACTGCAGGGTTTTAAATTTATTTTTTTTTTTTCTCTAATGCAGTTTCCTTATTGACCCCTGCCCTGTTTTTTGAGCTGTTTGTCTTTCAGATAAGATTTACAAAGTTGTACCTGGACAAAACTGACCTCAGATATCCCAGCTGTGGAGCATAACCTGAATTGGAGTGGTGATTTTGTCAGCACATAAAACCTTAGCTTGAATTTCTGAATTAAATGTCAATGCTTTTCTGGTCAAGTGCAGGGCATTGCCCAAAATGCTCTGAAAGCTGTTCCTGAGCATTGACTTCAGTTTGCAGGGAAAGAACTGATGCTGCTCAGGCTCCTCATTTCACTCACATTAAGGAGCAGAAAAATGACAGAAAAATACCTTGCTCTTGGAATATGTTACCCCTGCAAAGTCTGAGTCCCAAGTGTATGAGTTGTTAAGTTGGTCAAGAGTTGGAATAAGAGAAAAAAAACAATTCTATGAGCAATACTGGCCACAGCAGTGGCACAGGTCAAGCTGTCTGTCCTGGGCACCTCCATCTAGGACTTGTCTGGTCACTTGTCTGCTGTCTGCGACAGTCAGAGTTGTGTCAGAATACCACAGGGATCAGTGAGGAAGCAATTCCAGTTATAATTACCTCTCCCCACCACTGCCCTGTCTGAGCTGGGGAGACTATCTTGGCTGGTATCTCCTCTGGAGATGCTGAAGCTGTAATCTCCTTGGGAAGCCCCCAGAAGCCCGTTTGATCAAAGGCAGCCATCAGATCTCTCCTCCTCGGGAGCCTGGGATTACATGTCTGTGAGAGGAGCCCTGGGCTGTAATTGCCTGGCTCTGACCCTATAAATACCCAGTAATAGGCTCCTCTCCCCATAACCTGGCAATTATGTCGGAAGGTACCGTATCATTCAGGGCCTGCTCCCCGTGTCACTGGCCCTTTTTAGATCCCATGACACACACTCAGGGAGGGAATCTGCCAGGCACTTACCCTGTAATTTGCATGTGCTTTCATACTCAACAGCTATTATGTAATTGCCGAGTTGCTCCCGACTGTGATCGTTTAAGGGAACGCTGTCAAGGGCAGGAGGCTTCAGGCTGACCCTTGAAATTGGATTGTGTGGCTTCCTCCAGCAGCTGGAAAAAGGAACAGGCTTCAAGGAAAGAGCAGGGGAAAGGGCAGGCTGCTGGGGGGGTTCTCCCAAAGGCTTTGCGTGGGGTTTGTTTTCCTGCCTCGGAGGGGGAGCTGGTCAGGTGGGCACGTTTGCACAGAATCCCAGAATGAATTGGGTGGGAAGGGACCTCAAAGATCATCTTGTCCCCTTGCCATGGGCAGGGACACCTTCCACTAGCCCAGGTTGTTGTTACAAGCCCCATCCAACCTGGCCTTGGACACTCCCAGGGATGGGGCAGCCACAGCTTCTCTGGGCAACCTGTGCCAGGGCCTCCCCACCCTCACAGGGAAGAGTTTCTTCCTCATATCCAACCTAAACCTACTCTCTGTCACTTTGAAGCCATTCCCCCTTGTCCTGTCATTCCAAGCCCTTGTAAATAGTTCCTCTCCACCTTTCTTCTCAGCTCCTGCAGGTATGGAAGGGCACAGTTAGGTCACCCTGAAGCTTTTCTCCTCCAGGCTGAACAAATCCAATTTTTCTGTCCTTGTAGGAGTATTTTCCATATGGGTTCTGAAGTGTAGGTGGTTGGGTCTTGACAGCAAACTCTGCATAGCTGGGGCTGGACTGAAAGGGTGTTTGCACAGTGCTCAGCTTGAAGCTTCACTGGGGCATCTTAAATGATTTACAGAGGTAGGTGTGTGTTATTCTCATCTGAGATGTCTGAAGAAGGGGAACAGATTGATTTAGCCAAGGTGACATACGAGTTGATGGCAGTTGGATATATCCCAGGTTTTACTTGCTTTTAACTCTCCACCGTGGCTGTTAGACCTCACTTTGCCTATTCTCTTCTAAAAATGTGTTTTTTTCAGTCAGAACAGGCTATGAAAGAGTCATACACAATGTATATAGGTAAATAGGAGTGGCACAAGGAGTGGAGGAAAAAAAAGGCATTTTATAGCCCAAGTCTTCTAACTCTGGTTGTTACAAGAGCTTGGTGGTCACAGGTTTGGTGTAGTCATTGCTCCTTAAATATCTGCCTGACTAAGGTGTGTGGCAGGTAAATCAGAGCATCCACCTCACAGGTGTCTCTTGGGTCTGGGGGGGTCTCTTCTTGACTTCTAGCCCCTGAGAAAGGCTCTGTCCCACTCCAGTGAGACCCTGGGACCTTCAGCTCCAGCCTTCAGTCCTCCTGTTTCACATGATTTTTGTCCTAGAGGCATCTGACTATTCAAAAAGCATAAAAACCGTGGCAAATCTTGAGTGATTCCTTTCAAGAGAGAAAATGGGAAAGAAAAAAAAAGCAACAGAAAAAGGAAAAAAAAAAAAGTGAAAAGACAGTGCTATTTTAAGGCCATATTTTAAATCAAGATAATCTTTGGAAGCAGGACACTGAGTAGCAATTGTCAGCTGGAGAGCTGAATGTCCAGGATATCCCAGCATGAAATTCAGATGGCTTTCTGGCAGCCTTTGCCTTGAAGTAGAAGATGCAGAATAAGTCTGGCAACCTTCAGGCTGAGCACTTGTAAACAACAGATGTTCATAACTGGAATCTTTTGGAAGAGAAGGGCAGGGAGCAGCATGGATGTCCATGCTTGTAATTCTCAAAATTTGCAGTTAACGCTGAGCTGCGTCAGGGAAAATCAGAGCTCGAGCTGAATGAGCGGCTTGCAGAGAAGTTCAGCTTTAATTTTCCTTAAAAGCCAAATGATTTCTTCAAATCAAAGATGATACAGGCTGTGAGGGAGGTATTGACAGAAGCATTTGGGTCACTTGGACTTCAATTACATTATCATCGTCATGATAATGTTTATAATAATAATAATGATGATGATGATAATAAAAAACATTGTCATAGGCTATTTTGACCTGTGATTCTTTTTGATGAAGCTGAGTCCTGCACGTTTTTGCCCGAGTCTGTCAAGTACCAGCGTTTGGGAGGTTTTTCTAAGCATGAAACATTCATTTATTCAGTGACCTCCTTGAATGCAGAGAGCCAGGGAGACGTGACCAGGGAAAATGGATGTAAAGCCTCAGGGGGGGATTTCTGTGCTGCTTTTCATCATATCAGTGATCCCAGTCTCGCCCTGTGTTGCTTGGTGTGATTGCAGCCACTGTTGCCAGAGCAGAAAATTCAGAGAGGTTTGAAATAGTGTTTACAGCAACAATTAAATCTCTGCTCTGCCCCTTGGCCTGGCTCCAGCTCAGATGATTTGCAGGGTGGACTGTTTTGGGATGTGTTTTGGGTCTGGAAGTATCCATTGAACACCCCTAGGGAGCAGGTCCTGAAAATTTTGGGGAGGTGGAACAAGAAACTTCCAATGTCATGTGTTACCACCAGGAGACTTGTTTTAAAAACATCATTCGCAGGAAGGGTTGTTGGGAACTGATGGGGAAATTGGTTCAAATGGAAAGAGGGGAAGTATGTGTTGGATGTACAGAAGAAATCCTTCCCTGGGAGGGTAGGGAGGCCCTGGCACAGGTTGCCCAGAGAAGCTGTGGCTGCCCCGTCCCTGGGAGTGTCCCAGGCCAGGTTGGACAGGGCTTGGAGCAACCCGGGCTAGTGGAAGGTGTCCCTCCCCATGGCAGGGGGTGGGACTGGATGAGCTTTAAGGTCCCTTCCAACCTAAACCATTCAGGGATTCTGTGTTCATTCATTTAAGTGTTTATTTAGTAATATTTTAGCTCTCATCTAATTCATTCCCTTGTCTGGTGCTCCTTATGGAAACCAACATTCCTATTCCTGATTTGTGGATGTGGTTTTTAAATTTTTCAAATTTTTAATCACTTTTTTTTTTATTTTTTTTGTTTACTTGTTTTGGTTTTTTTTTTATCTATTTTGTATTTTCTGCTGTTACTTTGCAGTGCCCAACTCTGTGTCACTGTCGTCTGTCTCTCTCTCTCCTGCTTGCCTTAAAGCAGACAAATCTTGGCTTGTCTGCAAGGTCCTTGTATGAATGAGTAATTTAATTAAGACATTTCAGATATTTGAGGCTCAGCCTTCCCTTCTGATCTTTTGAGACCAGCTGAAAACTTTGAAGTGGAAGTTGCACAGGACCCGATCAAGATAACGCCCGAGAAACCACAGAGCTTCATACTTTGTGGTTCCCTAAAAATCTGTGCACAACTTCCTCTTCCTGCTCCCAAACACCCCTGATTGCTGTGATCTGGTGTAATTTAGGCTAACCTAAATAAACTCTCCAGATTCACTATCATCACACCATCTTTATGTGAGTATAAATAGTACTTGAAATAAACCTGGATCTTGGCGTCTTCCTCCTCCTCCTCTTTCTTCTCCTCGTCCCCTTCACGGGGTGGGGGGAGTTTGACTCCAATACTCATTGTGAATGTGAGGTTGCCAGCACTTTGGGAAAATTCGTATCCAAGTCCTAAAGTTTTGGGTTGATCTCATCAGTTTTTATCACTTCAGGGTGAACACTGACTCCGTCATCCTGCGGAATGTGTGGAAATGGAGCTTGTTCTTGGTCGTACCCAAGCGGTCCCTGTTGCATATTTTCCTTCCCCTTTTCACCCCTCCTCTGTGGTGACATGAAACTGGAAGCAGAGTGTATTTGCCAGCTCCTTTGAGGATTCAAATGGTTAATGAAAATCACAATTTGCCTCTCTGCCATCTGCTCGTGGTTACGATTGAAAAGGGTTTGCTGTAAACAGTTGTAGAACTTCTGCTCCGTGTTGTGAAAACTGTGGCCACGTTCCACCCCAGGAAATGCTGCAGTTTTAGAGGTCCTTTAAGCTGTGTGGAGTTCTAAAGGCTTCTTTAAAGGTCTGAAGTAAGTCAGTGCCTCTTTCCTTTTCCATTTCATTCCTGCCTTTCTCTGCTTTTTGCTGGGAAAATCATCACTAGCAAATAACGGGGAGGTTTTGTCTCCCTTGTAAAAAAAGCTTGTCATGGAGACATCAAACCTGTTCAACAGCAAAGGACCGTTTCAAGGAGGGCACTGAAGGGTTTAGTGAACCCATCAGACACCGGGAAATTAAAGGAATTTAAATGAAAAACCTCGAAATGTGCAGAGCTGTGGCTGCCTGGGGTTGAGCTCCGGGTGCGGCGCTCGCGGCGCATCCCAAGGTGACAATCCCCGCCGCGGATTGGAAACATGTGGGGTTGGGATTATTTTTTTCCTGCACGATGGCCTTTCATGTGTAACCACATGGAGTGTGTCAACAACCCATCTGGCGCCATTAGACCCCAGTGATTTTACTCACCAGGCTTTTCATGGGCTCCTGGTATTCCTGCTATGTGCTGCCTTAGAATAGCTCGGGGTGTTGTGGCAGGGCAGGCTGGACAGCTGGGAATTGGCCAGTTAACTGTTGCATCTCTTCTGGTTCCCCCTGGTGCTTCAGTTTGCTTTGGGAAGCAAGGCCCTTGGACCTGCTCTCTGCTCCTTTCCATGCTTTCTCTTCCGTGGTCATAACTCGTGGTCCTTGAGGCTCTCAGCTCTTCCAAGCTGCTCGTGGTGGGGTTGGACTGACAGTCCATTAGGGATGTTGAGGCAGGATTTTGAACAGCTAGAACAGTGTCAGCTGGTGGAGAGTTTGAGCTTTTTGTTCCTAAGTTTCATTCCCAATCTCTTTATGGTCGTTGGTTGGTTTTTCACTTGTAGGTCTGCCAGCTGTAGAGAGCAAACACTGACTGAGTCAGTGGGTAAAGTGCTGTGACATCATTGGTGTAAAGGAGCAAACCAGCCAGCTTTTACTATCTTATAGTCCTGTCCTTCATAAACTTTTCTTTATATTCTTTCTTCTACTTGAACCACAGGTTGTTGGCAGGGTTGGTGGCTCTTCATTTGGCCTGTACACCTCTGACCCAGCACTGCTCCTTGGAGAAGCTCCTCCTGGAGATGCTGTTTCTCCTCCTGCCCTATTTTTAGTGGAAGAAAAAACTCTTAATGTGTTCATTACCTTCCCTTGTGGTGGCAGCTCTTATCTCTATCTCAGCAGGCTCAGAGCACGTGGCTCCTGCTCTGCTTTGCTCATCACTTTGGCTGCAGCCTGGTCAGCACCCAAAGATTCCCAATTCTATTATGTAGCTCTCACAGTCACTAATTAGCTCTGTGGCACATTAAGAAAACGAGCATTATGCTGCAAACACTGGCTGCAGATGAGGGGCAGCTATTTGATTTACAAGGCTCAACATCTGCAAGTCTGAACCTTGTACAGTTCTGCAGTTGGATCATTCCATCTGGGTTTGTACCTGTAGTGCAGGACACTGGAATACAAAGGAAAATACTACCTCTAAATTAAATCTGTGCCTTCTCATGTTTATTTTATTTTATTTTTTTTTTTTTTTTACTCAAAAAGCCCAGAGTCCTTTTTATATCCCCTCCCACTACACACACACTCCAAACATTGAAGCAGTTGAGAATCACAGGCTGCAGTCATTCCTGAGCTTTTAATTTTATTTTTTTTTTTAGAAAAAAAGCATTGAGCTCAGCCCTTCTGAACTGTTCTTCTTTATCTAAAATTATCCATATTGCACCACAAATCCAAGCGCTGATGTCATGAGAAGGGTAATGAAAGTCTGCCCTGGCTTAGTTTTCCTATTTTCCCAATGTCAGACATTTCTTGCAGCAGAGATTGCTGTCCTTTCAAGTGCAGAATATTCCCTTTCCAATGGAAATTAAACCACATTTCTTTTTAAGAGGAAAGAAATCCGATACAGTCACGTACAACAATCAAGGAGAGCTTTGGCTTTGCACCACAGATCTGACTTAGTCTTTTCTAAATAAATGTTATTGTACTGTAAATGAATGATAAACAGACCTGGGGAGAAGTAAGTGATGATTTTAAGGCTCCACCTGGACGTGCCAGTTCCAAGCATTGCTGGAGCACCTCATATGATCCCTGCTCACCTCCCTGCTTTTATCTGGGATAAAATGGTGCCCCCAAAAAATGACTTACTCCTTTCAGCAGATGAAATGCTGATCCAAAGAAACTGAGGTTCCTCTCATCTCCCTTTGTATTGCTTATTTGCAGGGTGCATCAGCTGTAATAAGGTGGAGAGGGTTCAAAGATGAGAAAATAAAGCTGCTTGTGCGAGTGTTTCTGTCTCTTTGGCTCGGGACAGATAGAGATGCTTTCACATAATTGGGTTTGTACATGAAACACAACATTTTGTCTCCCATGCAGATGCTTATTTAGCCAACTGGGTGCTTGAAATCTTTTTATTGTGGTTAAGACACAAGTGCTCGAGACAGGACTGTGAAACCTGTTGTCAGACACCGGAGCCACCGCTCTCCCTCGGGCACTGATTTATGCACAAAATCCTGGATTCAGAGGGAAAAATTAAAGCCTGCATTTGGCACACTGCAGCCTGCATTTGCAGGATCTGTTTGCTGGGGGGACAAAAGCCCAATGGCCACGGGAATGGAGGGAGATGCAGCTGAGAGTGTGTTTTCTGTGTTTTCCTCTCCTCTCCCTCAGCAAATCCATCCATCCCATGGCTGGATCTCCAGCATTTACAGACACAGAACATCACGAACAGAATCGTTGTGTTCACCTCAGGTGAGTCCTACCCAATTTTTTCTGTTTTGTGCCCTTTCTAGGAAGGATCAGAACGTGCTGTCGCCAGTGAACTGCTGGAACCTGCTGCTCAATCAGGTGAAGAGGGAGAGCAGGGACCACACCACCCTCAGTGACATCTATCTCAACAACATCATCCCCCGCTTTGTGCAGGTCAGCGAGGACTCAGGACGCCTCTTCAAGAAGGTATCTGAGACTTCTTTGTTTGGTTCTTCTAAAATACCCTTCCAGCTCTTACTTCTAGTGCACTGATTTATTGTTGCCTGTCCTGAACACCTGAGGTTTCAATTTTTTCAGTAACTTTATTCTTCTAGTATTTTAGGATTTTCCCAGATGAGACCAGCTGAGATTTGTTGGTCTAAATTCAGGCCGTGGTTTTTTTTTTTTTTCCTCTTAACCTGCTCATGGTTTCATATGGATGTTGAAACTTTAATTAAATGAACAGAAGTGCTTCAGGTCTTCAGCTCTGAACGTAGTCAAGAACAACTCTCAAAAGGCAGAATTACATCTGCCATGGAGGAGAAATTGCTGTTAAAAATTAGGGAGAATTCCTGCTATGCCGGACAATAAAAGGGTATATTGTCATTCTCTGGAAAAAGGAAAAGATGTAATTGAAGTCTCTTTTGTTTGCCTTCTCCCCTTTCTCTCCCCTTGATTTCCACCTGGGAAGAAAGGTGGGACAGTGTGGGAGGGTTTTGCTATTAAGAATCTGTTCTTCCAGTTAAAGAAACACGATATGGAAGCTTTGAAACTCCTGTTCCTTGGTCTCTGCAGAGATTTGCCAGTCGCTGGAACATCTGCTGCTTAACATGTTGAAATCATTGCAGCTCTTAACTTTGAAAGCCATTTCTCTGCCCCCACCCCCTTGCAATGTGTCATGAGCTCGGGGAGTTTTATTTCTACTCTTGCAAGGCCTGGAGAAGGGAAAGAGTGTTGAGATATTTCTTAACCTCTCCCTGTTGCCCGAACTGCTGGAGGAAGTCTATAAAATGCAGTTTGTTCAGGCTGCTAGAAAATGAGCAGTGCTCAATATTGTGTGAGATATTTCGTGTCAAGATGCACTTGAAGGAGCAGCATCTCTGTGTTACCTGGAGAGCAGGATGAATTTGCTCTGTTGCAGCAGGTTTTTGTGTGTGGTGTGATTTCTAGGGGAGAATGAAAATCAGTGCAAGTGCACTGTGGTGTTCCTTTTCCTCTGCCTATTCCCTGAGTTTTTAATGGAGTATGAAAAATACATTCAGCTGTTACACTCTGTTTCTCTTACACTTCTTTATTTTTAAGTCATTGCCCAAGCAGAGGAGGGATCTTTCTCATTTTCAAGTAACGTCACACTGAGGCCTTTTTGACCTTTTAAAACTTTCTGGTAATTACATTATGGTTGATTAGATACTTACACGGGATTATTGAATGGCAGTTACTCTTCAATTCCTCTAATCCCTCCAAAGGAGAAGTAATCTCCCCACAGAATTTCAACAAGGGCTGTGCTTGAGCAAAGTGGCCTGGAAAATGCCTTGGCAAAGTGGAACATGGAAATGGATATTATCCCACTTTGGCTGGCAACTGGCATCTTCATTTTCAGCCCTTTTATAAAAACAGGGCAAACCCGTGGTTATGCTTTATTTTGGGCTGCAGGACTGGAATAAAAACAAATAAATAACTGATCAGCAACAAAATACACCTCTGGTTTCTTTCTCACAGACCGAGGGCAAGCTCCATATTTATAATTTGAGCAAACAAAAGGCACTTGTTAATAAATCCCAGCTACTTGTTGCCTGACTGTTTGCCAGGAATATCACGTTGGCTGAAGGCCAAAGCAGGTATTTGATTACTATTCCACTTGTGCTGGGTGGTTAAAAACAAAAATTGCATTCTCTCTTATCTGGTAGCAGCTGATAAATAGAGAAATTTGGCTGAACTTGGATCTGCTGCTGCTTGTGCTTTTTCACTGGAATCTCTTCCCTTCCTGAGCTGTGAGAAGCAGCAGGAATTGGTACAAAAGGTACTGCAGGCTAGAAAACAGATGAGGTGTGTGGTTAAAATATTGCAAATCAGCTTAATAATCCATGGATTTAAAGAATTGTTACCTATATAGGAAACTCTTCTGCAGCATGTTTGTAATATATCCCAAAAGCAGCACAGTTGTTGGAATATCTCTGGACCATGAGCAGACAAATGGTACCTTTTCCACCTTTTCCTGGGTGAAAAAACAGGGACAAGTGGATCAAGTCACTTCTCCAGGGTTGTTCACTCAGGCTGCCTTTCTGATCAGTGTCTGTAGGTATTGATGGGGAATTATTCAGTGGCTTGGCTGGATATTTAGGAGTAACATGTATTTTTGTGCCTCTACAACCACATCAGCCCAAAGGGAAACTACTCCTGTTGATGAGGAATCGCTGAAGAACTTTCTCTTCCCTCTCCCCTTAGGATCTCCCATCCTTTTTTGAACTTTTGAGGCATCCTTTCCTATTTTTCAGTGGAGAAGAGCTGCTGTAGTGTGTGACAGCTCAGAAAGCTGAGCTCTTTTTCTCTGCCTTGAAGCAGATGGAGTTTATACAGGAGCTGCATGGAAAATAAAGCCACTGTGCCTCGCTGCAAACCCTCCCACAGAGCTGGGCAAGGCAGATCTGGAGGTCTTGATCAAAACCCAAATAAGAGCGAGTTCCAGGGGCATAGCTGGATGAATGTGCTGCTGCAGCTCAGAAAATTTTATGTGGCTTCTCCACAGACCTAATTAGCCAGGCCATGGCAGTGAAATAACTGGCTGTGTTGCTTCTGAGACCGGAGTTTCCTGCCTCTCCTGTGCCAGGCAGTCGTTCCAGCTCATTCTCTGGTTCTGCACCATCTCCTCTCTGCTCCAACCATGCACTGCAGTTTAATGAAGTGCAGCCTCAGCTCAGGTGCTGTCAGGGCACTCAGGTTTAGTTTAACACAGGAGCTTATTTTTTTCTGTTTTCCAGTGAAAATCGTAGCTGTTGGAATTGTGGTGCCAGTCTTGCTGCTGGTTTGGGAGCTCCCTGCCCTTGTTTCATGGAGACTCCTTGTTAAAAACAAGGACACTTCATTATTTTAGAGTCTGAGAAATGTTCTTTTTTCACACTCCTCTTTAGAAAACAGCTTCTGAAAGAGTTATATGTGTGTCTGGCTGATTGCAGGTGCTCTGGTAACTTATATTTATGAACTTCTCACTGGGTTGTCAATAATGCTATGAAATATGGAGAGGAGAGCAGAACAGGGATCCTCCTCTGCTGAGGGCAGTGGAAATCGAATCCTGGGGCACAAGATCCTTTTCTTGGGCCATTTGCAACTCAGAGCTTCCTCTCATCAGTGTTTTGTGTCATGCTGGGGTGGAGCAGGTGAGCAGGGGAAAAAAGGATGTGCTCAAGGTCCCTTTTGTTGCTCATCTCTTGAGCTGCTGTATCTCACCCTGTGTGAAGTGGAGAGCTTTTTCAAAGGGAATCTGAGTGCAGTGTGCAGCTGTAATCCAACCTGAGGGCAACAAAGGGCCTGGGTGGGTGTGATAAGGTCTGTGCTGGGAAGGAAATGCATCCTCATGGCGGAGGGGATGCTGGTGGTGGGAGCTGGAGCAGCACAGAGCCTGAGGTGGGAACACCAGGCCCTTCTCCCTGGCCAGAAGAACATCAGCAGTGGTGGCAGCGTGTGGGGTTTGACTCTTCCAGTGAGTGGGATGGAGAATCCTCAGGCTGAGGTTCTCATGTGCTCCCCCTGGACCCCTCAGACCACTCTGCAGAGGGCACAGCAGAGCTTGGCTGGGTCTGTCTTAAAATCATTGAACCCCCCAGATTCCAGCAGTGGTGCCTGCACTGCACACAGGTTTGCAAAGGCTTTGTGTTGGCAGTGTTTGGATGTCCTGGGAAGCCTGCATGGTCTGTGGCTGTGTCTCCCAGTGTTCCTGTCCCTGTGTTGTGATGAGATCCCTCTCCAGGGCTGTGTGACGACGTGGAGGGTCCCGATTGTTTGGGTGTTGGATGGAAGCCTGGCAGCCACTTCAAAGGTATCTGTGCTGATAAGAGGAGCTGTGTTTGCTGCCAAAACCAGCACTGAAGTGGTGCTGGATGAACAGTGTGTGTCAGCCCCTTTCTTCCTGCCCCTGGCATTTGTTTATTCCTTGGTTACCTCTCCCTGCAGAACCTTTCCATGGCTGAGCACTGTCTGCACCAAATGTGGGTTTATATATAATTGGATAATAAATTATGTGCTACAGGTTTATATCTTGTTGGGAACTCGCAACCTGAGCTGTAGGAATTCTTGGAGCACTGTACTTTTCCGTGCCCTTTGTTTTGTGCTGAGGAAACTCTTTTAGGTGTCAGTCAGAGATGCTGTTGGTCAGGGACTTGCTGCTCCAGCAGTCCTGCAGATGAATCCTGGTGGGATCTGGGATTTCTCTGACCCCATGGACAGTGTCAGTGCAATTCTGTGCTACTGCAAAGAAAAAGAAGATAAATGGTGAAATAACCACCTTCTCCAGCAAATAAAACCAGGGAATCGTCCAAATAACAGATAGTTACACCTTGGGAAGGGGGTAATATTTTCTTGTTTGTGCAGCAGTTAATGATTTAGCCCTGGGTTTTGTGCAAGGCTGAAGTTCCAAGCCCGTGTGCCACCGGCGTTGCTATTCCAGTCACCTCTCCCTCTCCTGGAAGATGATCCTGCTTTGATGTCTGTTCTCCTTTTCATTCCTTCATCTCCTTTTGTGGAGAGCACTCCTTTGATTTCCTCCTGCTTATCCTCCTTCAGCGTGGCCCTTTTATTTATTTATTTCAATATTTCTTTATGTCTTTATTTATATATATATATCTATATATATAGATGTATAGATATAAAATATTTTCCTTTTTGAGCTGATTCCCACTTTGATTTCCCCTTTTCCCTCTATCCCCCTGCCACCCTCTCTATTTAATGTGACCCTTCATTTCTCTGCACAGTACAACCTTTCTGTTTCTTGCATGGTTATCAGGTTCTCTTTTGCCTCCAGATGTATCTTTTGAGTGGGATCCCTTGGGATTATTTATACATGTATAGCCTTTTGAGCAGTAGTCTCTTTAATTTGGTATCTTTAATCACTCTTTCTCTGTTGTCTCTTTGAGGTTTCCCTAGAAGCAGCATGATAACCTTGTTCAAATTTAAGGAAAAAAAAAATAGCTTTTTTTAAAAGAACAGACTGTGGA